AAATCCCCCTTGCAAAAGCGTCACGTCTCCACCATCCCCCCACCCACTCTTGTCTGCAATCTGCCGCACACGTCTAGTGGGTAGGTTCGACTGATCTGCGCACGGGAGACACCTGCCAACTAAGGTAGGAGCGACGGTACCCAAAGCGGAGACGTCAACTGCCCTGCTGGTCCCCACTCGGTAAGACTTTGTGAGCTGCAAGCGTGCTACAGGCTGGGAAATCGCTGACGATAGAAGCTTGTAACGCTTTCATACTCATATTGCCGCAGCGGCGCGGCCAAAACCCGCTGCACATCGTACCCTACCCCAGACGCAACTGCGGCAATGGCGGATACCGAAATCGACATTGACTCCATCGTCGACCGGCTGCTCGAAGTGCGTGGCAGCCGACCGGGCAAGCAGGTGCAACTGCTTGAAGCTGAAATCCGATACCTGTGTACCAAGGCCCGCGAAATCTTCATTTCTCAACCCATCCTGCTCGAGCTAGAGGCTCCGATCAAGGTACACCCCGTTTACTCGTTTATCGGGCAAATCGGCTAACTGACGATTCAGATTTGCGGAGATATTCACGGGCAGTATTATGACCTACTGCGCCTGTTCGAATACGGCGGATTTCCCCCAGAGGCCAACTACCTCTTCCTTGGCGACTACGTAGACAGAGGCAAGCAATCGCTGGAGACCATCTGTCTGTTGCTGGCCTACAAGATCAAATACCCCGAGAATTTCTTTGTGTTGCGCGGCAACCACGAATGCGCGTCGATCAATCGCATCTACGGATTCTATGATGAGTGCAAGAGGCGCTATAATATCAAGCTCTGGAAGACTTTTACAGACTGTTTTAACTGCTTGCCCATCGCTGCCATCATAGACGAGAAGATCTTCACGATGCACGGCGGCCTGAGCCCCGATTTGAACAGCATGGAACAGATTCGCCGCGTCATGCGGCCAACGGATGTACGTATCCCTTTTGTGTTGAGTGGTAGCTGACTGACGAACCAGATTCCCGATTGCGGGCTGCTTTGCGATTTGCTTTGGTCGGATCCGGACAAAGACATCACCGGCTGGAGCGAAAACGACCGCGGTGTCTCCTTCACGTTCGGGCCCGACGTAGTTTCGCGCTTTCTTCAGAAGCACGACATGGATCTCATCTGCCGCGCACATCAAGTCGTGGAGGACGGTTACGAGTTTTTCAGTAAGCGCCAGCTTGTGACGCTCTTCAGTGCGCCCAACTACTGCGGCGAGTTTGACAATGCTGGCGCGATGATGTCGGTAGACGAATCCCTATTGTGCAGCTTCCAGATCTTGAAGCCGGCGGAGAAGAAGCAAAAGTAAGTGTAGTTTTCATGGAATTGTCCAGCGCTGACTCGTGCAGCCGCTTTGGACGTCGATAAGCGTTCGAATGCTGCTAAGCATCAACACACAGCGGTCGCTGACAGGGCGATCTCGGTCGGGACACGGGGAGGGGTGTACGATGAAATGCATGAAGATGGCTGTGGCAAAGTCACCAATCAAGTTGCTCCATTACCTTTCCTGACAGTTTTGCCTTTTCATGGGTGGCTGCCCCTCACGTCGTGTCGCGAAGCGACTATGTTGTATCGAGCCTTTCAAGAACATCTTATCGTTGATGTGCGTTGCAAGTTGAAATGGTTTGACGACATGGCGTGTAGAGGTTCGTGCTAATGTACCACCGTACCAGTTTATTTGATGTTGCCAAGACCAGCCACTCTAAATATCAGCCCCGCGACGCCACGAAATTAAGGTTATAGCGACAGGGTAGGGCGTTGATATACGACGGCGAATCGCCATCGTGTCCGTTCTATCGGTGCCATGCGCGTCTCTGCCCATGGCGGTTTGATGCAGAAGCTCTCCGTCCCCGGGGCAAAATGGCGCAACGAAGATCTAGAGCCTACGCCGCCTGAGCGACGAACCTGGCAGTGGTGGAACTGTACGTCCGTCCCGGTATCGTTATCGTCCTCTAATTTGTAGATGCCATTTTCTACTGGGGCTTGTCCTTTGGCAATTGGACATTGGGCTCGACGATGATAGGGATTGGGCTCAATTGGTGGCAGTCCATTCTTACAATCTTTATTTCTCAGCTCGTCAGTTCCATTGCCATGCTATTCAATAGTCGTTGTGCCAGCGTCTACCATGTGGGATATCCCATAGTGGGAAGATCTGTCTTTGGCATGTACGGCTCATATTACTTTGTTGGCGTATGCCGTTTTTACCCCTGGTGTCTGCTTCCATCTGACGAAATAGGTTCGAGCTCTACTCGCAGTCATCTGGTACGGCGTTCAGCTCTATACCGGCTCTGCTCTTTTAGCCAACATGCTCCGAGCCGTCTTCGGTCATCATTATACCGGCATTCCGAATCATATTCCTGCCTCGATTGGCATCACCAGCGCTGGCATGCTGGCCTTTTTTCTGTTCTGGCTTATCCACCTCCCTTTGACGTTTTTCCGGCCCCACCGATTGAGAAGATTCTTTTGGTTCAAGGCAATAGTCATGCTGCCAGCCATTCTAGGTCTCTTCATCTTTTGCATGGCAACCACTGATGGGCGCATTGGACTACGAAGCTTAAAAAACACGTCAAAGGCCCAGAATAATGGCTGGGGCTGGTTCTTCATCTATTCCATAAATGCTGGCATGGGTATGTGGGATTCTTACTCGATCGGACCAGCTAATGATTAGGCAATACTGCCACCTTGATTACAAACCAGCCAGACATCGCTCGTTGGTCCAAAACGAAAATGGCTCCCATGTGGTCTCAGCTCCTTTCCAATCCTATTGCAGTAACGTTCTCAGCCAGCCTAGGAATTATCTCTACGGCCGCCACCAATAATGTGTGGGGGACAACTTTATGGTAGGCATCGTTGCTACAAACTCGGGTATCACGGCTAATTACTAGGAATCAATGGGAACTCCTTGATGCTATTCTTGATCGACATTGGACCGCAGGCGGCCGCACGGGTGTCTTTTTTGCCGCTGCTGGTTGGAGCGTCAGCATCCTCGGGACAAACGTCGCAGCCAATATGATTCCCTTTGGAGCAGATTCCTCCGTGCTGTTTCCTCGCTTCATCGATATCCCGCGTGGCCAGCTCCTGGTTGAGCTTCTTGGCTTTGCCATCTGCCCGTGGAAGATTCTTGCGAGCGCTAGTACTTTTACCACATTTCTCGGAGGCTATGGCTTGTTTATGGCCAGCGTCACTGCAATCATGGTCTGCGACTATTGGTGTCTGACTCGTGGCAACATTTTCCTGGAACACCTCTATACCGCCAAGCCAAATCCGCACTATAGATACCTTGGAGGTGTGAATATCCAAGCCATCATTGCGTACATCGTTGGTATCGCCATGCCCTTCCCCGGATTTGTTGGAACTCTTGGACCAAAAGTAAGTTCTGCTGCGCAGAAACTCGGTCAGCTTGGATGGATGCTTTCTTTTGTCTCCTCGTTCGTTGTGTATTACATCTTATGCCGTATTTGGCCGACAAAAAATCAGAAGATTATCAAGCAGTCGGGCTATTCATGGGAAGAAATGAGCAAGAGGGAGCTGCCGATGGGGGCCGCACTGGATAATAATTGGAAGGACTATGATTCACAGGTCAGGATCATGCAAAAGTGTTCATGAAATAACGAATAATGTTAAACACTAGAATAATTATGTTCATGTGTAACAGCTTCTTTGCTGTTTGGATGATTGTGTGGGATAAAATCTTCTATCATTCGAGCACTCTTGTCGGAAGGGTGAATCTCCGAGGACTAAAGGGGAGCGGATATCGACCACAAAAATTTTCACTCAACTTTTACCGAAAATGCGAACGTAGATGTCTGTCTATATGAGGTGAGGTTCGAAACCTTCCCCACACTACCTCAGTCTAACCGCATTCGCCAGGACAACGTCAGCGAACCATGCCCTTAAGCATGAACGAGACAATAACCCGTCCCAGGGAAAACTTCCTCTATAGAGGTAAAAATCCTGAGAAGTTTCGACTTCTATCTACAGTTGTGGTCATGGTAGGTGCCACATCCTTCTGACAACTCTTCTCACGGCTTCCCCGGTGTCTGGTGTGGTGTTGTCACATATATTCAAGCCATGAAGATAAATGAACCGTGGATAGATCAGATATGTATGGATCCTCGTATCTTTCCACCCCGTTGCTCCCGGGTGTGTCCCTCAGATCTCCTCAAAATTTGCATGTCTCGACGTATTCTATCGAGTCAAACGCCCTTGCAGGGGCCTTGAATGGGGCGTCCTATATCATCAGTTCGCACATATGAGAACAACGCATGTCAATCACCTTGTCTTCGGGCTGATTACGTTCAACCTTCTAATTCTGATCGGGTTGGAATACCATTATAATGTCTTGGTTCGATGGCGAATCAGATTGTTGGCCTCACGAAATATTTATCCAATTGCATCCAACTAGGAAGACTATTGCGAACCAAAAAAAAACTGGTGAGCATTATTTGGTTCCACTTGGGAACACTTCATACAACATACATGACCTTGAAATTATTCATTTGCATGAACTATTGTTATACGTACAGTAGCCAGACCACATCCGAGAGAACTATACACTATTAATACCGGTAAAAGCTCTACAAAGTGGCTATAAGCTAACCCCGCCATCACCCAAGGAGTTTTATCTACAGGACCGAAACTAATGTTTGGCTCGTTGATCATCCAAAGACTGATTTCGATTCCATGTATCCTTCTTTCATCTTCCTTCGGAAGAAAGATCATTGACATAGCTCCCAAATTACTTTCCATGATCGATAGGCACCTCTTACGCTCGTTACATATATTCAATCGGTCGCAGAAATCCAAGTGCTAATTTCAAAAAAAGCCCAACCAGTATCACCAGCTCGTCGTGCTGTACGCTACAATCGATTCGAAGAGTATGACCACGCTAGAAAGCAGGTCTGTCTTGTGCACTCTCTTTCGAGACAATAAGCCGTAGGATATGTTTGTATACCTTCATCAAATAGGCATGAAATTGCCTCTGTGGTCTAGTGGTATGACGTGTCCTTCACAAGATGAGTACGGACAAGGTCCCGGGTTCGATACCCGGCGGGGGTACACCTTTTTGCAACTATGAGAGTCTTATAAAGCATTGAACCACTCTTCTCAATTTTTTTTTTTGCTGTGGTAAAAAAGTTAGAATAGGTGGTATGCCTTCAGCACCTTCCAGATTAGGCTTACTGCACCTAGTTAAACCGGCAAAATCGCGGCAGAACCTAATTCGCGCCAAGGCGCGTCGCGTCAGCTTGTCACTCTTCTCAAGTAAACCAACATGTTCACACCAAAGGCACAGCCTCGAATAGATTCAAAACGCCGTGCAGTCTTGGACCCTCGGAAACGGCAGTTTGCCAAGGCACCATGGGTTGAATCAGACTACAGCCACCGTATGAACTTTTATCTAATCCCACCTACTGGAGACGTGAGCTTGGAAGACTTTGAAGAATGGGCCATTGCTCGGCTAAAGGTTCTTGCCGAACTTGAAGCCTGTCAGTTTCGGAACAAGTCGGCAGCAGAAACCGAGGAACACATGCGTCCGGTGTTGGAGAGGCATATGCGGCTCAGCAGTAACATGAGCCGCAGCGGGGACCGCGATTGGGAGAGGAAGAAGGACCACTACTCTCATTGGACCCTGAGACTGGCATTTAGCTCCACTGCCGAGCTGCGACAGAGATTCGCGAGGTTGGAGACGCAGCTCTTCCGCCTAAGGCTGGGTCAGGACGATGGGAGGGAGCGCAAGGCCTTCATCGATAGCCTGTCCATGAACTGGGCGCTCGTGGACGAGAGCGAAAAGGCCAGTCTGGTCGACGAACTAAAGGCGGCTACGGGATGGCACCGAGGTGAGGAGGAGAATTGGTTCAAGACCGAATGGGAAAAGGTGTCCGACCTAGTTGAACGCCGCCAGTGTCTGCTGAAGATGGGCCAGGCCTACGTGCATGTTCGGGAGCAGCAGGGCATGGTGGTGCAGGAGTTTGGCCGCCAGCTGGAGTCAGCGCTCACGATGAGTGCGCGCTTCCTCCCACAGCTGGACGAGGACAACCGTGTGTTACCCATCTTGCACCATCTCAGCCAGAGTTTCGTTGCCCCGGATGCTGGCTACAACGAGAGCTCGAGCATAGGAGACTTGACGGTGCCAACGGCCGCATCGATTGACGCACTGAGCGTGCATTTTCCTTTGTGCATGCGGCAGCTACACATGGAGCTACGACGGAACGGTCACTTGAAGCACTTCGGGCGACTGCAATACACGCTTTTCCTCAAAGGGATCGGTCTGAGCCTGCCAGAGTGCATTATATTCTGGCGCAAAAGCTTCCGCAACTTGACTGATGAGAAATTTAAGTCCGAGTACCTCTATAACGTGCGTCACGCGTACGGCGACGTGGGAGGGGACGCCAACAGACGCTCAAAGGGCGCCACACCTTACTCGTGCCAGAAACTCCTCACTGAGGCCCTTCCCTCAGGCGGCCAATCACACGGCTGTCCCTACCGCACCCACGGAGCAGATAATCTCATGGCCCTCTTGCAATCCACTGGCGTCACCGACAAGTCCCTGCTGCAAGCTGTGCAGGAGGACGTGGGCAAGCAGCGCTACCACATTGCCTGCAACCGTGTCTTTGAACACACCCACAAGGCCCAGCTCAAGCGCGTCAAGGATCAGAACCTTTGGCCTGCCAGCGAACTGGATACCATTCTCCACCCAAATACTTACTTTAAACGTGCGTTCATGTTGAGTAACCTGGACAAATTCAAAAGCGGGGATATTGGAGTTGATGGTTGAATTGCCAGTTCACTGACGCATGTGATGAAATCGATGAATTTGACGGGCAGGTTGTCCGTGAGAGACAGGCGACTCATGTAAATGTCTCTTTTGCCATCGACCTATTTGGATGCCATAAGCATAATCAATGGCCGCCATGAATGCACGACTGAACGATCCATGGAACTAACCAGCAACTTGACCGTTGGTTGGTATAGGGGCGTCAGCATCGATGTGACGAGCTAGAGACCATAATACCAGGTAAAGCAGGCCAATCCTCCAGTAGAGATTTGGAGCCTGGTTTAGACAATTATGTACGGTTGACTAATGCCTCCCATTATAACTTTCATCTATCCTATTTAATTTTCCAGTTACTCACCAGGCCCTCTTTCCTTCCGCAGTCGTTCTAACTTTTGCTGAAGCAAAAGTTCGTTGGCTTGCAGCTTGCGGATGTACACATTAGCCTGCTCTATGGTTGCAGCTTTGCTGCTACTTGACCTTGTTTCGCCATCTGCGGCACCGTCCGGACCACCAAGATTGGGCGAATCTGCTACGGCTTTGGGAAGCAACGCCTGCATTTCCCGAAGAGCCTCATTCATCCGATCTCTTCGCCCTTGCTCTGCCAACTTGTGCGACGCCCGTTTCGACGTCAACCCTACCGACAGTGCATCTGGGTAATTCACCCCCGGTACGTGGTTGCCTTCGACAATGTTCTGATAGTTTGATTTTGAGGCCAAGAGGGCCTGGGTTGAGGCATTGGCTACATTTGACCAGATATTAACTTACGTCTCAAAAGTGAAAAAAAAAGGGTTGACTGGATATACTTACAGCCCTGGGGAAGATTGGGTTTTATATTGGGACTGATGCGGGCGCGGATTGCAGGAGATGCTCCCGAGTTGCGTTTCTTGCTGCGACCGCTTTTGGTTTCTTTCTGCTCCTTTGGCTGAGCCCAGGGTGATGCGGCTGGTAGAGGTGATCCTGGGATAGAACTCGAGCACGGAGTACTTTGTGGTCCCAATTTAGGGGTTTTACGTGATACAAGCCCATCTGAAAGTTCATTTGACAGAGACCCTGGCGAAGCAGAGATAATGTTTGAGTTTGTCGCGGGTTCTGGCAGCCGAAAATCATCTATCTCGAGAGGATTGCCAATTGGAGTCACGGCGAGGCTGCTGACTGGATGAGAAGTATTGCTGTTTGCCAAAAATGATCGAGGCGTTGCGGCAGCAGCCAAACCTCCGTGTTGATGATGCTGTAGTGACGGAGAAATCACAGTACTACCAGTAAGAACGGGACTTGGGCGAGGCGGAGGTCCCATCAACGGCCGTGCAGCTTCTGGGGCTGCTTCTCCATGCAAGTTTTCAGTGGAGCCTGATGTCAATGCAGGTGGACCAAGTGAAATCAAAGCGTCCGACTCACCCTCCGCCGGCACGGAATCGATAAGTGTATTAGACTTACGCTTTGGAGCCGTTTTCGCAGTAGGTTGGAGTCGCTCCTTTGACCCTTGACGCTGCAGACAGTCTTGTTTTCCATCTCCAACATTCAGATCTATTGGTGATATCGCATTGGAGCTTGTTGTCAAAGCATGCTCCGTGGCATGGTTTGGCTGGTCCCATGGAGAGTCGTTCAGAATACTCGGTGAGAACGGATCGGGTATGGAAAAGTACGGGTCATTCGTCAAGTCGAACATAGGACTCGTAGTCGGCAATTGGGGTGTTTCCGTAGCAGATTCCAATGGGGAAGTTAACCCAGACTCTTGCTCCAATGCACCAGGCTGCACAGTTCCAGATGCGCTTGGGAACATCGTTGCGGCATGGATGAGCGCATCGTGTCCCAAAGGCGTTGGTGGCATGTGATCATTGTCAAAGTATTCAGATGGCCGTGCACCGTCTTGACTCTTGGATTTGAGGTCCAAGTAGGCGATACTGGCGTCAAGACCATGTCCGACATCTTTTGGTGGCTTTGAAAGCTCGGGTGTATCAAGCTCACAAGGCGGGAGCGTACTTTCTTCATCTAGGCACAAGTAGTCCAAGTCGGTGCCTTCTAGCCCTGGCCAATCAGTGAGTCCACCTAGGCCATCGGCCAGATGTTTTCCTTGTGACCATGTCCAGCAAGACGTGTCCATGTCAAGCCCAACTCAAAGGCTCTACTCAAGGACTCTAGAGGGCGTCTTAGCAGTCACCGCGCAGCTGTACGGGTGGCGTTACAAGAAAAAGGAAACCCCACGTCGTGCCTTAGTGATTGAGAGAAGTCATCTTCATGTCACTTACGGACCGCTCCATGACGACCCAGTAGCATAACGTGGGTGTGCAAACGTGAAAATCACACGACAGTTGGTCAAGTTTCTTCATCGGGGAGCACTTTCCACGGATTTCAAATATTTGCACGCTAGGCTTTTGCCCACCCGATTTCTTCCGCCCTTTGGCGTCTAGAAATTCAGCTGCATACTTTAAAGCTGACACCCCACCCCCACTGTGAACCTTTGAATTATTGCTAACTTGTAGATTGCGTATACAGTTGTGTGCGAACAATGACCGAGAAGTCGTTCAAGACGTGTCAATGGTTGGTGTATAGGATATGGCAACTAATTCTCCGGACGATGTAAACTCTGCAGAGCTGCAATACTGCCGAATCTGGTCATATCAGCGATGCCCTGAAATGTGTCTGCGATTTCGTCAGCAAGGCTACTTCCTTCAAACGAGCACCATGCATATCTCCCTGTAGCATCGATGCTCCTGGAAGTGAATTGTTCTTTTCCCTTCTAACCTTCTGTGATAGATGCTGATACTTTAGAATATAACCCTGGACGTGCTTGATGCCTCGCCCGTTGTATTACCATAAGTACGACCGTCCAGAAGAAACTGGCTAGAGCAGGTACTTGTACAAAACCTCCACCCAGAACATGTTCCTCCAGCGCATGCGCATTTGATTTGCGAAACCAGAAAGCAATGCGATGCACCCAGGCCCGCGAGTTCGCAGTCAACAAGACACCGGAGCGGTGCCAAATTCCCAAAAACGCCTCTCTTGCTTCTATCGACACGGTCGACGACCTGTTGCGTCCACGATTACATGCTTGAGCAGCAGCCACCTTGCTGTTGCGGTGCATAGGGATCTGCGCCTCGCGGGACCTATTGGGGTCAGTAGTTGGCAATATGGGCGTCGAAGTGCGCACCTGTCCCCAGCGGCTCGGGACCATAAAATCCCTGGGTTCCTTATCTGTGTATGCAATTAAGCTGAGAGAATGGGTCAGCGCGCAAAAGATTCAGGGCTACAGGAAGAAGACATACTCAGCTGCCGCTTCGGACAC